TATACTATATATAAATGTCAATCAATACATATATATTATATATATACATATATAAAATAACTGCCAATTGAATGATCAAAAATAAGCTAACATAACTTTTCAGTCTATATTGAGTGCTTTTATAGAGAGTATTCGCTGTCGTAATTTAATATTAACATACTTTTATTTTTAGAGGCTCACATAAAAATAATAATATAATGCAAGTCAATAACAAAATAATTTCACAAACAATGCAATGCAAACAAATACTATTCTTTTCTCAAAAATAATATACATTGTACAACACGTCGTATGTGTAATATGTTATTTAACTGAATTATTGATACTGATTATTGAAATACAATTGAAAGTAGCATAAATTACATTTGATTTTTTTTTTTAGAGCTGCTTTTAAAATAAAAGAACACATTACACACCGAACATATATTTTCTGACAACAAGTTCCATGATTTCATCATGGTAGCGAATTATGAGCAAAACTATTTTTTAGTCAATTTCTGATTTACCCAGAAACGTTGGTCGACAGCACAGCAATTTTATATATGATTATTATTAGTAAGTATTGCAATTGTAATGAAATTTGTTCACTAGGCTTACTCTGTTATACGAATTCCAGAAAACCAGTGATTTCAATCAAAGCTCCTAAATTTTGAGCTCTTCAATTGATCTATAAATTTGAATCTGGCCAAATGAGTGGAAAACTTCCTGTTTGCTGTGAGCGTGTGTATCCAAATTGTGCTTGGTGTAATCGATTGCGCACTTTCGAAATTTTCACGATTTTCACGCAGAGCCCCGATATTACACAATTGAGCTGGACTGTGGTAAAAAAAAATCCAAACTCCCGAATTGGCAGCGAACACAACGTCGAAAACGTATTTCAGGAAAATCAACTTGAAACTATTTTTATGTTTTGTTTTTGTTTTGTTTTTCTGGCTTTTAGTGCGATAGCACAGCACCGAAACCACCGAAACCACCGAGCCAGCGAACCGAGCTTATTTTTTAACGAATTGAACGCGTTTCAGAACTGCGCTGCCAAGCAGACGAAAACCGACTCAGCTCGAGTGCGGCTTGCAAAAACGACAACACCTGAACAGGGGCCCAAACTGAGGCCTGAACGCGACTTGGTAACAATTGACGCTGCCGCCGCCGCTGCCACTGTCGCTGTCGCTGCGATTGCCTATGACGTATGGCGCCGACTGCAGCGACAGTGAAGCCAAGCCTAGCTTGGGGGTAGTAAGCGTACGCCTAAGTAAGACTCAACGACTCTGTCGCGCTCAAAGTCGCTGTCGCTGTCGCAGTCGCTGTTGCTATCGCCGTCCCCGTTAGCGTCGCTGTCGCAGTCGCGATCGCAATTGCGATCGCTGTTACAAGCTTCACTCAAATTGAGTGGCGCTGTCGGTAGCCAGAGCAGCAGCAGCAGCGAGAGTCGCCAAAACGAAACTGTTAATTAATAAGCTAAGTAAACCTCCAAATGCTATTCGGCAGTTGACTTGATGTTTATTTTCTCAAGCGTAAACTAAACGTGGCTTTTTCAAACGCGGAACAGAAATGATATCTAAAAAAAACTCTTAAAGCTACACCAAAGTTGAGACGATGTTTCTCATATGCGATGGATGGCATTTCCCATTTAGCGCTCACGATGACCTGTTCTCTTGCACTCGAAATTGCGAATTTAATTTTTTTTTATTTTATTTATTTATTATTATTATTTTTTTTTTTTAATTAATAAAGGTGTATTGACTTCAGAATATACACGGATTTAGAGCTCCCGTCAGCTTGACATATTACCTATCTTGTCGCTAGTTTCAATTTTGGTTTAACACGCAGCAGGGAGAACGCCAAGTTGAGCCTGTGGACCGATTGAATCATCGCTGCCCATTGTCCAGTTCACATCCGTCAATTGATCCTAATTGGTATGCCTGCATTGTCCGCCCGAGACGTCGTTTGGAGTTGTTCGCTCATAAATCTACCAGTTCAGTAATTTTCCCCTTTTGTTTTATTTTTCTTGCCAATCTGTAGACGACAAAGTGAATATTCTACAGTACACTCACTCTCAGAACTTTAATCGTGGCGCAGCCATCAATCACGTAATTGCCAGCGTGTTTGTTGCGCTGTTTGCATCCGTATCTTGCTTTTATATCTTTTCGCACAACAAAATGCTAAAATCTATTAACTGAAATACATACATGCATACAGAATATACATATAAGCAAACAAAAGACGGAATTATTCAAGACGCTTCACAAGCTACTGATTGTGCTTTAATGATGTGTGTAAGAAAGCAAGCATAAAAATATGCATTCATATTATATATTATATATGTATGACTTAAACATCGGCCCGTTATACAAAAGTGCTAATAACAATAATAAATAAATTGCCAATAATAAAGACCCATGCATCCAATGGCAACACTCTCTTCTCAAACATTTACCTCTGCAATTTCTGCTCTCAATCCTCTAACATATATTTTTATTCTCTCTTTACTCAACTTTACTTTGCTCTATCCTCTGTCCCCTATCCTCTATCTTCTATCCAGTATCCACTATCCTTTACACTTTATCCTATATACATTATGCTCTATCGTCTATCCTCTATCCACAATATTCTATCCACTATCCCCTATCGTTTTTCCCAAATCCCCTATCCTCAATCTTCTTTCCTTTACTCTCTATCTTCCGATTTCTATCCTCAATCCTCTATGCCCTGTATAGGATAGGGTATATTCTACATAAGCATTGTCCACTCTTTTCTCTATCCATTCTTATTTATATGTTTCGTCTATATTATACGTAGAGTACTACGATTGTCCTTTGCCAGCGACTTTAACCTGATAAAGAGCAACATGATAAAGAGCAACATGCCTAGGCTATTAAACATTGCAGTTTTTATGTTAGATATCTTCATCATAAAGAAAACTAATTTAGAGTTTCAGACGTAAGCAGATTTATAAACATCGATCACAATAACATAATACATTATTCATTCCGGACTCAACGTAAGGTACAGAAACAAATTAAATTCCCATTTTTCCTCCGCGTTCAATTAAATGTATTTGCATGATAAAGTCGCACTATTTGAGTGATAAGTAAAGCCAAAGCACGTGTTGTGCCTCGAATTTAACTAGCTTCATTTCGCTTATCCCCATTACCACCCAAGTTGGCTCTTGTGCTAAGCACACTTGCCTATTACCTGTAATTATGATGAATAACATTATTTTTTTCGGCCAGTCATGGTGTCTGCGGAATACCAAGCCGAAGCCGAGCCCAGACAACCGAATGTACAAAACGTAAACAAACAAAGTAGAGAATCATATAAAAGTCAATATCGAAATTAGCAACATTTCTCAGAGGTAATTGCTATTGTCGAATTGTGTGTGTGTGTGTGTGTGAGTACATAGATATGGGTACTACGAAATGGGAAACGGGGTGGTTCAATTGTCTGAAACCCTCGATATGCCATTGGCGTGATTTAACATCGACGCTTCTGTCAAGCTCTCTGATTTATTTTATGACTCAACACATCAGCCGTGCGGCGTACGACTTTAATTCCCTCCATATAAAAATACCTGTCATGATAGAACGCAAAAATTACCCGCACTTGTCCAAAGCGTCCGCACACAAAATCCATTGAAATTCCGGACGGGTTCAGCATGGGCCACAGCTACAAATCGCGTAAACAACTCGACTGCATTTCGTGGCAATGCCATCTTTCACCAGGCGCTCAGAGCCTGGCTAAGCTTTGAAATGCTGTTGTGTGTATATATATATATATATATATATATATGTGTGTGTCTGTGTGTGAATTCTAGTGTGAGAGCGTATGCGTGTTCCTGTTTGTTTGTACTTATATTTGTGTGTGTGTCTGGCAGCCAGCAATAAAGCCGCAAATGCGATTTTTCTAAATGCATTCGAGTGTTTTTTTTTTTATTGAACTGCTTCGCGTGTGTTGCCTCTGTGCAGGTGCAAATATCTCGATAACTATTCATTTAAGCGCGTAAACAAATATATTTCTAGCTTATTCAAGCGATGGATGGCAAGATAGTTACCGTTTGACAAATTATAAGACTAGCCCCAAGGCTAAAAGAACAGTACAAAAAATGTACAACAATAATATGTTCTTCAACAAAATAATTTGCAATAATTACATATTTGCAATATTGCGAATGATATTTCTTACACTTGCAATTTTTGTTCAATACATGACAATTTGATTTTTTTTAGCATTTCAAAAATGCATCACAAATTTCTTGTTTACTTTACAGATGAAATGAGTAAACATTGTGCTTATACTTGATTGCACAAATTGCTACTTTATTGAATATTTACATTGCATTTGTACAAATTAGATACATTGGGTATATTCAAACAATATGCACTTTTGAAATGCTCATTTTCAACACATTATATTAAAATCCGAATGGAATAGAACACAGCAAAAGATTGTATGTAAAGGGAGGCAACCCCAAATAGATATCCATACATTGTCTTACTAAATAAAAGTTATAGGACTCTCGTATAAATAGAGAACATTTATGGGAAAATATACGGGAATAGCACCGATTTTCAGAAATATACTAGATCTGCTCGTGCTATAAAGGGCCTACAAAAACCTCTAGGTCTTATAGGTTCTGTACTGTACGTACTAAATCGGCTCAGCTCGTTCATCTGCTAATTACATTCATACAACTAAACCATTATACGCAGACTCCCATTAGCAATACCAATATAAACTCATTATGATATTGATTTTTATTCTCTTTAGATCTACGAAGTTTTGCTGCCTATTTCAGACTATTTACTGAAGCGCAACTAATCCATAAATATATTCTAAATCAATTATGTTTATGGCTCAGTTCTGGCTGTTCGACGAGCAGATTCCCTGAAGAATGTTGTACCTTGATGAGGACCTATTGATTTTTGCTTAGTATGAAAATCCGCTCTTGCTAATGATATAATGCTTAATATGTTAATTTTTTTTTTATATTTCCACACGAAAGGATGGAATGGCGGCAGAAAGCACTGGAATACAGGGTTCAGTTCACTCACCGTTCATGTTGTATTAAAATAGATTATAGATTCGATCAAACATTAAATTCAAGACCTGATGAGACCATTAAATTCCAATTAGCATTCAGTAAACCCACGGTATAAAAGGGAATTGTTAGCATAACATGATTAGCAATCGACATTGACCAGTGTTTTATTATAAATATATTACTGCAAAAATCATGCATACAATTGATTGGAAGTTGTTGCTTTTGTCAAGTGTGCTGCTGACATTATACATAAATTATAATGTAATTGAAATAAGTATGTTTAACTATAACTAAATATACATTCTAGCCTTTCCAGTCTGGTGCTTCTATTAAAATGACAAATGCAGTCTGCAATTCTTATAACAAATCCTGGGTGGTCATAACTCAATGCCGATTGAAGGCCCTGCAACGGAACAAAACGATCCTCAATGTTGATATGGATTTTATTCATCCGGTTAATGACATCGACGTGCGGATTCAAATTTTAAGAAAGGGAAACGGTTACAAGCCTTGGCTTTTCGATATTTCATTTGATGGCTGCAAGTTTATGCGGAGGCCCAATAATCCCGCTGTTAAAACAATTTTTTCAATCTTTAAAGAGTATACGACAATCAATCATACATGTCCATATGATGTAGGTAAATACAGTATATTTAAAGTGTCTAGTTTAATTTTGTTGCATTGCTTTTTTTTTTCGACAGGGTCATCAGGGAATCAACAAATTTTATCCAAACATCGATAACTTTCCCATCCCATTTCCAACTGGTGACTATTTATTTATTTTCGCCTTTGACTTTTTAAAGAAACGAACTTTTGATGTTAACGTCTACTTTTCCTATGTAGAAGACATTTTATAAATATTACAGTACATTAATAAAAATTCTTAATTTAGCATATAAATTGCAATATTATTATCTTTTTTTTTTTTTTTTTTTGAATACCCTGAAACAATTAATATTGGAAATCAGAGTAGAATGGTTTTATTGAAATTTATGTAATAGGCAGAAGGTTGCGTAACAATATACTTATAATAAAGTAAACATATTATTGATCAGGGTGACGATCTGAGTCGATTTAGCCCTGTCCGCCTGACTGATCTCAGAAGATTTAAGAGCTAAAGGCTGAAATTGGTAATGCGTACGTGCTATGCGTGTCTGTGTCTGTGCGCGTGGGTATATACATGTGATAATTTTTGCGTAAGCAGAAAAGGGTTCTCGTAATCGAGCACCTGCGACTAGAGCCTTCTTACTTGTGTTTCCTTAATAAAAGACGTACTAATACTATTAAGTATTTTATTATCTCTCTGATCTCTTGAAATATCTCAAAGTTATACTAATATTAACTTCAATATAGCCTACGAAATTGAATCCGTTTGCAATATATCTCAAGATTTATCCCAAATTTATCTTCAATAATATCTACCAACGAAATCAAAGAACATTTATATTATTATTGCATTTGGTGATCATATCCCCCATGATCATCAAAATTGAATTAAATCCTAATTATATTGCTATTTTCAGCCTACTGAAGCATAACATGAGAAAATAATTACATTTAATTGAGAACAAAAAAATAAAATTGAAATATATACACTTTCTGGAATTTTATTGTTCTGTACCTCCGACTAGACTCAAGGCCTGCTCCTGTTTTGATAATGTTTCAAATTCTGTATAGCTGAAGCTACCGCATTCGCATAAGCTGCTGACTAAAGGGTCTAGGCTGTTTTATCTTTTCCAATCTTAATTATTATTTATTTTTAAAAACCATTATACCTAATTTGCTATGGACTCGCAGTATAAAAATGAAAGTTATTGAAGGCGTCATGATTAGAGTGTGATTAGTTATTTACATATTCTTGTCGTTTACTTTAAAATCATGTGGAGAATTTATTGGAATTGTTTTCTTTCTTCAATTGTGCCACTGATTTTGAACACAAATTTTAATGTAATTATTTTAAAGATGTTGAACCGCAACTAAATATTGATTCATTTTTTTCCAGAATGGTGCTTCCATTAAAATGACAAATGCAGTCTGCACTTCGTATAACAAGTCCTGGGTCGTTATGAATCAGTGCCGATTGAAGGCTGTGCAACGGAACAGACCCATTTTAAACATTGATGTGGATCTCTTACATCCGGTAAATAAGATCGACGTTAGAGCGCAAATCCAAAAAAAGGGAAACGGTTACAAACCTTGGCTTATCGATATTTCATTTGATGCCTGTAAATATTTAAGAAAACCCAATAATCCCGCTATTAAAATGATTTATGGAGTCTTTAAAGAGTTCTCAACAATTAATCATACGTGTCCATACGATGTAAGTAAAAACAGACCTATATTGACTTGTTTCATTTAAATTTTCTTCTTTTTTCATTTTATATTAACAGGGTCATCAGCGTCTAAGAGATTTTTATCCAATCATCGAGAAACTTCCTAATCAATTTCCAACTGGAGACTATTTACTAATTATAACATTTATATTTTCAAAGCAGCGAACCGCTGAGATAAAAATATACTTTTCATTTATTGAAGACTTAATATAAATACTTCAGTGTTTCGAATAGTTGTTATTATAATTATATTTATATATATTGATTTTTTCACTTTTTATCAACAGATCTAAGATCGTTTCCAACAGGCTAATATTTACTAAATAAATTCCTAGATCCGAGCAGCCCAAGTGCCCTGCCATATTACTTAGTAAATAGGTATATATTTATATGATATATTTAATTTTTATTGTACTTCCCATTTGCTATCCCTATTAGTTAAAGCCTCTGGTCAAATTAAATGACATATATGTATAATTGAAAAATAAGTAGAAAATAATGAACACTTCATTTTTCATTGCCTATTGGCGCGCATCGAATGTATTTTTATGGTATTTAAATGTCTATAAATAAGAGTAAGTCGGCTGTCAGGCAGATTTCAACTCAAGCAAACCAAAAGAACAAAGCCGGAACTATGAAGTCAAAAATGATACATAAATCCATCAGATACTTTTTGCTGCTATCTTGTCTACTGCTGATATTACACACAAGCGTAAATGTAATCAAATTATTGAGACAAAATATGAATATAAGGATTTCTAATAAATAATTCATTGCAGGAAGGCATTATCTTTAAAATGACCAATGTGATTTGTAAGTCGTACAACAAGTCCTGGGTGATTATCAACCGTTGCCGACTGAAGGCCGTGCAACGAAACATGACTACCTTCAACATAAACCTGGATTTGCTGCATCCTCTTAAAGATCTCCAAATGAGAGTACAAGTCCAGAAAAAAGGGAACGGTTATAAGCCCTGGCTTTTCGACTTTGTTATTGATGCTTGCAGGTACTTTCGAAGGCCAAACAATCCCGCTTTCAAAATGATTTACGGAATCTTTAAGGATTTTAATCACACATGTCCATATACTGTAAGTATATTAGTATGTGTTATATTTAACTCTACATTATTTTATTTGCATAACAATAGGGACAGATATTACTAAAAGATTTTTATCCACGAGCCGAAAAATTGCTGATTCCTCTACCAACAGGCGATTATTTACTAAATCTAACATTTTTTTTCACCAAACAAAAGAACCTTGATGTAAATGTTTTCTTTACTTTTGTCGAAGATTAAGTTAAAAAAAGTTAAGTTAAGTTAAACTACTTAAATTTAATTGGTTAAATTATATAATGATATGCAAATAATAATAATCACACAACAAAACCGTTATAAATCTTTCTAAATTTGCTACATCCAACCAAAGCTGTAATCGTAGAGTATCAGATACAAAAGAACAAAAGGCTACAGCCCGTCGATAATAAAAGGTGGGGCTGATCTATTCAAATGTACGATACATTCGAAAAATAAATTTGAAAATCTACTCTTTAATCAAATTGGACACCATACAACGTTCAACCATACCTGTTCTTTTGTTGTGAGTATTTTTTTATTGCTACCATCATACATTTTTTTTTTTTTTTTTAATTTTAATATTCTTCCCCCTTGTTAATATATAGGAATCCAGTCCATACATAATTATTACCCAAGCCTTGTCAAGTTCCCATTGTATTTCCAACTGGAGAGTATGCCTTTCTTGTGAAATGGAACATTTCTGGAAGAACTCAACTCACTACCAATATTTACTCTACATTTATAGAGAATTTATTATCTGTTCCTTAATGTTTGAAATACTCCACTTGACACATAAAAATAAGCAGTTTAAACCTCAATTTTCAATGTTATTCCAGTGTTTCATTAATTTTAATGTAACTTACTTATTAAGTTACAATTAAAATTATGGGCATTCAAATAATAGCCTACGGCGCTTACAAAGATTTCCCATACTAGATTTGTCAAATAGACAGACTTAGTTATTAATACATATGTAAATAAGTAAATGTAGTATGGTATGTAGTGTGGATTGATCTCATTGGAGTTCAAACCATCCGATTATTGTTAATTTTTGTAAATTCATTTGCTTATTGTTTAGTATAAGACAGATTGGAAATAAAAGGAGAAAAGAAAACAAATATTATAAAATTATACATACATACACACATTATTATGTATGTCTATTTGAAAAAGTGCGCGTAAGTTGAACAGTGCAGTTCGATTATTCCCAATAATTGGTCGATAACAGTGCGCTGTAATCGAGGAGCACGAGTGAACGAACTGGTTCTTTTGTGAACTAACTCTATTGATTACTAAAACAAAAAGAATTTGGCGATAGCATTTTGGTTTACTGCAAAGCTGCTAAAGTATTTTGCCGTTATCATTATAGGCAACAAGCATGGATGTGATTAATAAATTCTACTCGTCCGCCGTGCAAACCGTTTCGCAGCTTTCAGGCGTATTGCCTGGAAATAATGTTACACGGGAATATGAAGTGTTGGATCAGATATGCACAGCGGGTGTGGGTGAGATGCAATAAAATTCGCTAACATATGCGCATTCAGTCAACCAGTTAACAATATTTTTATTACTCAGGATTGATGTGGAAGGTTTACAGTGGCCACAAGAAAAGCACCAAGCAAGAAGTCTCTGTATTTGTTTTTGAGAAAAAAGTACTGGAACGCTGGTCCAAAGACGACCGAGAGACAATGCTCGAGACGTTGCGCCGGGGCGTCCAGCAACTAACGAAAATTCGACATCCACATGTGCTCACCGTTCAGCATCCGTTGGAGGAGAGTCGGGACTCTTTGGCCTTTGCCACAGAACCTGTGTTTGCATCCCTCGCCAATGTAGTTGGTGACTCAGTGCGCTCGGAGAAGAAACTCTACGATGTAGAGATACGACACGGTCTGCTTCAACTATTTGATGGCCTGCAATTTCTTCACAACGATGCTAAGATTGTGCATCGCAATATCAGCGCCGAAACGATTGTGATCAACAAGAACCGTAGCTGGAAGCTGTTTGGATTTGACTTCTGCATAGCCAATCAGCCAGCATCAAATGGCACACCTCACTGGCCATGCAGGGAGTATAGCACGTCGCTTCATGTACTGGCCCAGCCCAGCTTAGAGTATACAGCACCAGAGTTGGCATTGAACAGTGTCAACACGCCGGACAGTGACCTGTTCTCATTGGGTAAGCACACTTTTATATAAAACATAAATTTCGATCTGTAAACAATTACATTTTAGGTGTGCTTATATTCACTATTCACTCGGGTAAGCCACTAAAAATGTTTGGAAGCGATTACAGTAGCTTTCGGCGGTACGCCAATGAGCTGAATCAGCGAAAGTACCCGCCAATGAATACTATACCAAGTGAACTAACCGAGAGCGTGAAAGCCCTGCTGCATCCCAGCGCAAATTTGCGACCAAAGCTGCATGAGCTGAAAACGATTACGTATTTTCAAGACGTCGGTGTGAAGACTTTAAGCTATTTGGATTCTCTGTATCAGTGGGACAATCTTCAGAAATCGAAGTTCTACAAGGGTTTGCCGCAGATAATACCAACTCTCCCACATCGTGTAAACTTGCACTCGATATTACCCTACCTGATAAAGGAGTTCGTCAACTCGCCCATGATACCATTCGTTCTGCCGAATGTTCTGCTTATCGCCGAAATGAGCAGCCAGCGCGAATATTGCGAACACATATTACCACATCTGAAGCCGATTTTCAAACTAACAGACCCCATACAGATTCTTTTGATATTCATGCAAAAAATGGATTTACTGCTCAAGCTAACGCCGGCGGAGGAGGTAAAGCAGAGTGTGCTGCCGCTGCTCTATCGGTCGCTGGAATGTGACATGCCACAAATACAGGAGCTCTGTTTGGGCGTACTACCTACCTTTTCCACTCTCATCGATTACAATGCCATGAAAAATTCCGTCATTCCGCGTATCAAAAAACTTTGCCTACTCAGCAACAATGTTTCAGTCAAGGTTAACTGTCTTATATCAATTGGGAAACTCTTAGAGAATTTGGACAAGTGGCTAGTTCTCGACGAGATTCTGCCCTTTTTGCAGCAAATACAAAGCCGCGAGCCTGCAATTATAATGGCTATAATAGGTAAGCCGATTTACTTAATTATATTACTTCTATATATGTGTGCTGATAAACTCCCTATTGCAGGTATCTATAAAATCGCCATGACGAACACGAAGTTGGGCATTACAAAGGACGTAATGGCGCACAAATGCATACCTTTTCTTGTGCCACTGAGCGTGGAGAATGGACTGACCATAGCACAATTCAATACGATTGTAGGACTAATCAAGGAAATGCTAGGAAGAGTGGAACAAGAGCAGCGTGAAAAACTGCAGCAGTTAGCCACAATACAGAGAGACAACAAGTATGCTTAAAATACGAGATCATTTCAATATAATATAAATATTACTATTTAAAATAGACCGAAGGATGCAGCCGAGATACTGGCCAACGAAATGGACAACACCACGCTGTCGCCTGCCGGCAGTAATGGCAATAAGAGCGATGATGATATGTTCTCCGGCTTCAGCGTGGGCCAACCATCACATACTGCAACGCCAAAGCCTGCAGCTCCAGCCCTGGCCCCGGTTAAGACTAGGGAACAGCTCAAGTAGATACTGATTTAATCAACGCTTATTTCTATGAAAATTAATTAAACATATGGGTTTTTTAGAATATCGCACAATACGACGTCAGAGGCAGCATCGAAAACGGATATGTTCTCCTTGATGCAAAGCAACATAAGCAGTTTGAGCACAGTCCAGAGTCCGCCAGCAGCAGCAGCTAATCCTGCTCAGCTTACCATGCCCTACAGTGCTAGCGGTGGCAATAGCAACAATTGGCACAGTGCGAATCCGTTGGTCATGAATCACCAGCTAGCCTCGCCGCAGGCTAGCAGTAACAACAACTTCTCTTCGTTGGACGACTTAGATCCGTTTGGGTCCGGCGGTGGCGGCAGCCAAATTGCCAAACCGAACAATGCAAATAGTGCCAATATGTATACGTTGCAGCAGCCCACTGTCAACTATATCTACCCGACGAGCTACAATTCGATGAACAGTATGCAACCTAACCTCGGTCTTAGCAAGCCCATGAATCTGGGCACAACTGGC